GTGAAGGCAGGAAGATCTCTTTGTCACTATCTTTCTTATTTTTATTTTATGTATAGCGATGTTTCGCCTGCATGTGTGAACCTAGTGCTGGAGGAATCCAGGAGTGGGCATCAACTTCCCTGGAATCGGAATCACAGAGAGTTGTGAGCCACAATGCGTGGGGCTGGTACTCTAACTGTGGTCCTCTGGAAAAGCAGCCAGTTCTCTTCATCCCTGAGCTCCACCTCCTCAGCGTCTTTCATGAAAGCAGAGCTCATTGATTGGATAGGACTGGCTGGCCTTGGAGCTTCTGGGATCTTTGTTCACAGCCCTGGGGTTTCAGGTATACCCTACACCTGGCTTGTTCTGTGGGTTCTGGGTGCATGTCAGCCATTTCACTGACTAGCCATCTCTTGATCTAGCCTCTCTTTGTAACCTATCTTCTATCTTCTGGAAAGTCTGAATGTTTTTTGTCTCTCATTCCACTGGCGACATTACCCTATTGCTATCTAAATGATGACTGGCCACTGCCCACAGGGAGAAGTCTCACTGGATACCATATGCCACACCTAACTGAACAGGGATGTATGTGACCATGAAGATAGAAGATGTGATCCCTGCACATTGTGTATCCCCGATGACCTTGGGCTTCCGTTATGTGACATGGGATGTAAGCTGGGCTTGTGGTGGGTGTGCATTGCTGGTTGGTGAGGACAGGTCCTCAGATGGCTGGGTTCTTATCCTTATCCTACAATTTCTGGCTCTTTTGTTTGTTTTTGAGATGGGAATCTCACCATGTAGCCCAGGCTGTCCCATTAGAGCCCTCAATTGTCCTGCCTCAAATATTCAAATGCTGGGATCAGAAGCCTGTACCACCTACCCAATATCTGACCCACCCTTTTCATATCTCATCTAGAGAATTTAGAATTCCTGGATTTCAACCTCTGCACTTGATGTCTCTACAGGGAAGGCTCCTAACCCTAAGATGACTACCCCCATGCAGTTATTCCCTTCCCTTCCCACCTCACCTGGCTAGACACTCCACCCTGATGAACAGGACTTGACCCAGGTCGGAAACGTGGACTTAGCCCTGCATTCCTTTCAGTGGAGGTGCCCAGCTGTAAGGGCGAGCAGCTCTCAATGTTCAGGCAGCGTACTTCCTTTGCATTGTTATGGGGTTTCTACTCATATCTCTGGTTACTTAAACAGTCCAATAAACTAAGTGAGTTATGAATAAAGATAATTTACCTCAGCTCCTTGGTCCGATATGGGTGAGACCAGAATGGGTGTTAGGATTCTTGCTAGCAGAGTCTGAGGTGGCTGAGGGCTTAAGACAGTGAGAGATTGGGAAATGTATGCCTCTCTCTCTCTGTGTGTGTGTGTGTGTGTGTATATACTTCAGTCTCTCTCCTTATGTGTGGGTATGTGGTGTGTGCAGTTGCATGTTTGTGCTGGCGTGCTTGTGTGGAAGTGTGCCGTACCTGCATGTGGAGGACAGAGAACAATCTCCACTCTCATTCTTCGGATGACAGCCATATTTCCTTTAAATATAGCTTGTCATTAGATGCATGTTTGCACATGTGTGAAGGGGTCAGAGGACAACTACACGAGTCTCTCCATTGTGTGGCTCCTGGCGATTGAATTCCAACCAAAGTTGGCAGCAATCTTTCTGGTCCTTTTTTTTTTTTTTGAGATAGGGTCTCTTCTTGGCTTAGTACCTGCTAAGTGGTTGGGCTGGCTGGTTGTGGAACCCCAGGAATCTGCCTGTCTCTGCCTGTGTCACACTGGAGGGTCAGCCCATTTGTTTGTCAGTTAGTATTTTTGTTTTGTTTTTAATGTGAGTTTTTGAGGATTGAATTCAGGTCCTCTAGCTTGCAAGCTAAAGGATTTTACTGACTGGGCTATTGCCCTTGATAGTCAGTCACTGAAGCCCCACCACTCTGATGACCTAATCCCAGAGCATCCCAAAAGTCCCTCCCCTAAATGACACAGACTAAATTTTTCACTTTTTGAAAGAAAGGTGGCCAGGATTAGACTGAACATGAGCATCCAGTGAACACGTGATATTCATAGCACATCGCAGACTCTGAACATGGTATCTAGAATTATCTATCCCCTTTCTCACCAGTGCCAGATATTTTGCAGGTTGACAACCCAGATGCTTGGACTTTGGGGAATAGTGCCTAAAATAAGCGACAGCCAGGCTCCCTAGGGCGAACAAAGGGCTCTCCTGGGACCCGCAGAGCTCCCCTGCAGGGGCTGTGGAATTCCATCTGACGCACTTGGGCTATTTAATTTATTTTCTTTTTTCCCTGTATACCAAAATATCCGCATCACTTCCCAGCTAACAGCGGCTTTAGCTGTACTATATGATATTCTTGGTACATTAACATCTAACACCAACGAGTCTAATTGTTGTATGTAAATTTACACCGCCATTCATATTTTCTCACTCGGCTCCCTCCGTTGGCCTCATAATAGAATCCAAAGTCTCCTGTTGGCTAAAGGGTTAAATGATGTAGCTTTGGGATCCCCTCTGCCGCTCTGGTGACTTAGCTTGCATAAGTCTTCTTTATTCCTTTATTAGGAAAGACTTGGGGTGTGGGGGAAGAGGCTAGCCTTTGACTGGGTCTTCTATGTGCATTCATAATAAAAAGCTGGTACATTCATGGCTGCTCCATGAGGTAAAAGAACCAGTGAATGAAAGTTTGGGTACATCTCACCTCCAAGAGAGTGGTCCTGCTTCACCCGGACCTGACCCGACAGTCTCCAACGCCCTTATAAAGCTAATTTTCCCCATCTCGCTATATCCGCTTGTCTCTTCCCCTCAGGATTTTAGTAATCAATCTGGGTGGTGTTTTTTTTTTTTTTTCCTCTTTCTCTTTTTTTCCCACACTGCTGTTGGATAAAAGATCCCGCCCTTGATTGAAATGGAATCTTCCACTATTGAGCGAGCCTTTGTTGAATGAGTCATCGGCGCAGCCTCTCATTGGCTGAGGCCGCCTGAGCCCAGGGGATTGCCTGGCACCGGCTGCAAGGACCCGCTCCATTCACAGAAACGCTGGCTCGCTCGCCGGCCCTTTCATTCACACAAACAGCATCTCATTCACATTCTGTCGTTTTTTTGTCTGCTTCTAATGAAGACCACGGTTTGGGAATGGTGGGGCTGACTTGCTTCAGATTGGAGGGGGACTCTAATCACCATCGAAATCGTCCGTGGGGTGCGCATCTGCTGTTGCTATGCGAGCTAGGGGAAGAGAGAAAAGAGAGTGCGGGGTGGCTTCTGGGCTAGGGCTGTCGCGCGGTTGGAGAGCGGTGGGGACGCATTTGCTGCGCCTGGGCGGGCCTGGCGACTCTGCGCTTTTTCGTCCTCTGGAACCGGCCTCACTTGCACGCCCGCCATGGGTGGCTCTCCTTAAACTCCGTTCCTGGGGCTCCCAGAAAGCCTGGGAACCTTACTGGCTCCCGAGATCAGCCCTGGGCGTGAGAAGACTGAGGGTGACCTGCTAGTGTGTTAGAAGGCAAATGCATTTCGCTTGCACAGAAGTTACCAGGAAACTTTGACAGCGATTGACTTCTCTGTGGTGCGGGTTATCTATCTTAACGCATGAGACCACCTGGCAGAGGCCACCGAGGAAGGGGTCAGTGGCTCTCAGAATCTTGGACAGACCCTCGGGGAGGGTGTCGATGTCCTATTCTCCCAAGCGCCAGGAAGAAGGAAGGCCTGTGCGTGTCACTGCAAGCCTAGGCCTGACTCCCAAGGATGAGGCCATTCTTGCTGTGGATTTGATGGGCAGTTAGAGCAGCCGCATTTTTTTTTTTCCTGCCTGACTGCAGGGCTGCAAGCAGCAACTGAAAGGACATTGAAATGGTTCGGTTGTGCTACTAAGGCATGCTTCCAGGGCTTAAACACATTCAGTTGGAATAAAGCTCGGAACGCAGCCCTCTCTTCTCTTTTTTCTTTTTTGGCATGGATTTTTGGAGCCTGTTGCCGCTCAGCAGAAAACACTGTTTTTTGGTTTTGTTTTTTTTCTTTTGGAAGTAGGTTTCTCAACTGAACCCTAGCTGAGTAAGGCTTCTGACTGCTGTAAATTATTAGGGAAGACCCCTCCTGAGCTGTACTAAGAAGAAATTCCTGTTTTGTTTTTTTTTTTGAATTGGTCCAGGAATTGCTACTCGTCATGGCTGCTCTGTTGATCTGAACAAGAAAAGCAAACCACAGGAAACTGACAGGTTTTAATCCCCCCATTGAATATTCATCTGCAGGTGAAGGGTCCCCTCTTTTTCTTCCTTAAAAATTCTTGCTACTTTCCAAATCAGGATTCATCAGGATTCGCCTGAAGACTTCTTAAAAAGCCTTCATCACATTTGAACGCATCCCTGTCAGACACTTCTGGGCTTCATCCACATGAGCTGAGCAAGGGAAGAACAAACCTTAGCATGGAATAATGGGTTTCGGAAAGTTCAAGAGATCATTTGAAGGAACTGTATTTACCTTTGGCACAAATGCGGGATGGCAAGGGGGTAGGTGAAAAGGCAAAGATTGGAAGGAAATATCTGCGAAGGTAGAAAAAGGAAATTTGAGAACTGATTGGCTGTAGTTGCTGTCAGCGGGTGGATGTCGTTTTCTTCTCTCTCTTTTTGCTACAGGAAGTGATTTGCGGAGCTCACCGAGCCTTTGTTGAGAAGGGTCTCCTCAGAGTGAGTCACGCTTTTGCTGGGAGCAGCCCCGAGCAGCTGGGCGCTCGCTCCATCAACGGCAACTATGACTTTTGCAAGGCAAGCGTTCCACCCCAACCCGCGGTCTCCAGGGCCCGCGCTGCGTGGCTGCTGCTCTGCTGCCTTGTAACGGTGAAACGGATCGGTCGTCGGCCTCGGCTGTCCCTCTCCGGAAAGGCTGTCTTGGGACCCGGGCTCCTCGTCCCGCTCGGGGGACCGCGGCTCGTGTGCTATGCGCGGCAGTCCGCGCCGGGGCCGGCAGCAGCAGCGCCCGGGTGGATGCGGCGAGCCTACGGAGGGGCATGCTTCCACGCACCAAGTACAACCGCTTCAGGAATGACTCGGTGACATCGGTCGATGACCTTCTCCACAACCTGTCGGTGAGCGGCAGCGGCGGCAAGGTCTCGGCGGAGCCTGCGGCGAGCCCCTACCTGGTGTCGGGCGAGGCGCTGCGCAAGGCGCCGGACGATGGGCCCGGCAGCCTGGGCCACCTGCTCCACAAGGTGTCCCACTTGAAACTCTCCAGCTCCGGCCTGCGTGGCCTGTCGTCGGCTGCCCGGGAGCGGGCAGGAGCGCGGCTCTCGGGCAGCTGCAGCGCTCCCAGCCTGGCGGCCCCGGACGGTGGCAGCGCGACCCCCGGGTCCCGCGCCCCGGCCGCCAGCATGAGCGCCACCAGGAAGAGCCGGGCCGGCGACGAGCCTCTGCCCAGGCCCCCGCACTCCAGTGACCAGGTGCTGGGGCCGGGAGTCACCTATGTGGTCAAGGTGGGTAACCCAAACATACAGTTGGGCAGGGGTCTTGGGGACGGGGTGCGGTGAGGAGCAGGTAGTAGGGGCGACTGGGGACAGATGTCCTCTGAAGCCCCAGGGTGCAGGGATCACAGACGACAGTTGGATGTGAGGAAATGCGCCCTCCTTAGCCATCCTCTTGCTTGACAGGGCAAGTGAACTAGAAATGCTCCCTGTTGGGGAAAGGTTGAACTGTCTGGTCACCTCGCACAGAGCCTGCTTTCCCCAGGGCATCGTTGTTGAAGCATGCTTTGGTCACCTGGCTTCATCAGATGTCCTGCTACTGTCCCTCTCTCCCTAGGGATCCATCTCTGAGATTACGGTCTGGCCTACTAGAGGTACACTTGTCAGACCTGGCAGCCAGCCTTCTCCCCCGATGTGCCCTAGTGTCATAACTTCTCTGTCCTCCCCTGGCGGCAGGGTGGGCCATAGTTCCTCTCCAGAGCCAAAAACCGCCCAGCTTCTAGAGGGCAGGGCAGGTGCTGCCTTGCTTCCTGCAAGATGGGTTCTAGCGTCTTACCCAGAAAGATTTTCTTTGGCTCTGAACTGTTTTGGTTTACAGCAGTGGAGGAGCATTTGGGACTATGTTCAGAGTGACAGAAGTCTTAGCTTTTAATGGCCTAAGAGGGAGTGAGATTGTGGCTCTTGGACCCACATGTTGAAAAGGAGTTTTTTTGTGCAACACAAAGAATGATAATGATTTTTAAAATCCCAACGTAATTGATAGAATCCCTGCCATTCTCAAGCATGCCGTGGTCCATAAGATCCTCAGCCCATCCGCCAAGCAGGCATTTCCTCCAGCCAGACCAGCTTCAGCAGCCACAGCCATGGTTTGCCTAGATGAGGGCCAGGAGAGAGTCCATGGGTTCATTTCATCGTGCTACCCCTACTCCCCCCTCCAGGGCATTGCTTTTCTGTTGAAATAGAAGCTCTCTCAGTCACCCATGTTAACAAACCTGTGGGACATATGTCTGGTCTGTAAGCAGTAGCTGCAGATCCAACTTACAACTTCCATAGGACACCTCTTCAGATAAAATGCAGTATCTTGGTAGCTTGGAACTACATTCTCTAAGGACTCTACATTATCTTTGACGGTATAAAACACATGGGAGCGCCCCTTCTCCAGCCTGCTTTTAATTTGTTCTCTCAGCTACTGAACACAGATCACATAATCTCACTGTACTTTCACAAAGGGGCCACAGATCAGCATAAAATGCACACGTTCTGTTGAGTTTATCTCAGAAAAGGATGAATACTGCTCGTTTAAATGATATGTCCAAGGCTCAAAGAGCAAAACCAACCTGACAAGCAAACAAAACCCAAGCCTGACAGCCTTGGGGTTAAACTGTGACTGGAATATAGTCGTTACCTTGGGCAGTCTCATAATTGCTTCCTCTGCTTGTTTTTGCTAAGCATTTAAAATAGGTAAATAGAGCTGGGTAAGACTGCTGGTATGTATTCGGGAGAACCAAGAGGGTTGCTTACAAAATGAGGGACGATTCTCCAACTCGTACTTTAAAAGAACCATTTGGCTTGGTGCTGGCTGGACCGGTGCCCAAACAGTAGGTCAGGGAATCTGTAATTTGAATATTCAGCCAGACAAATTAAAGTGGTATTTTAGGGAGAAAAAAATCACTTTAATGAAGGCTTTGCCCTTGTGGGATGAGGCTGTATGACCAACAGAGGAAGATAAGATAGCCTGCTTAGCCTGGGATCTCTCTCTGTGGAGACAGTTTTGAGTTATCCCAGTGTCAGCAGCCATATATCCAGGGCTGGAAAACTGATGGGGTCTACTCAGAGGCTATTTCTGTCCCCTGGAAGAGGGTACAGCAGTGCCCCAGAGGCACTTGCACACAGAGGTGCATGGCACCATTCTATAGTGACCAGAACTGATGCTGTCTATTGGCCCAGTTGTTTGTCAGCAGTTGTGAATGTTTATGCTCCTGTAAGCATAAACCCAGGGGTGGTCCCCTCATCTAGGGAGAGGTTTGAGATCACACAGAAAGGAAGCTAGACACTAAAGGACAATTGCAGTCCTTGTGTGTATGTCCCCTTCAACTAATCACGTGGCTCTCTGTTGGCACATGTGAGCAGATTTCCCACATTGTCAGGTCGAGTTCAAAACCAACTTGCTTTATTGAAAAACCACAAAACTAAAAACCTCTTTCTTTGGTGGTTATCTGATGGTGTTGCTGATAAATAAAGGATTCTTCTGGAACCTTTAAAAGCCTGCATCTTAAACCTGGAACTCAGTTCTAAAATCCGAAGGTTTGGAGTTTGTGAAAGGGCTCAATTCCTTCCTACACACTTTTTTTCTAAGTTAAAGAAATCCCTGGATGTTTTCTAGATTTCTGGAAAATTCCTACACTGCAACATCACACACGATCCACGAGAATTATTTCCTGGTAGGTGGCAACTGGATGTCATATACTGGATGTCATATACAGGATGTCATATACTGGATGTCATATACAGGATGTCATAT